AGCGGGTCGGGAAGAGGCACAGCTCTCTTAGACCATAATTAACTTTTGGTAACTCAAAAGTGGACTTTTAGGTAGATTTTCTGAAGTTTAAAGCCTTTGATTCGTCATCCTGTGAAGTGGCCCTCGGCCTCCTTGCCGCAGGGGGGACGGCGACAGTGCCCAGGGCAAGGACACGGCGCCCAGCCCGTGGCACCTGCTCCACCTCCACGGTGCAGGGACCCCCGGCGACGCCAGTATCCAGACGTGCGTACGGCACTTCGCATTTGGCTTCCCTGCAGCAAGCCTGCAACAGCCAGCGGGCCAACTCCACGACCCCTGCGTGGCCCAGCTGCCCCAACACATACAGGAAACAAGATCATCTGGTGTATGAGGAGCAGTGACAGCTCAGACGGACTCCGCAGGCACCATGGCAGAGGTGAAGGCGCCATCCGCACGGGGAGAGAATGATTCTCACTCCTTCCCTCGTTAATACTTCCTTCACTGTCGGCCTCATCGCTGGCAGAGTTTGCTGGGAGCCTGCAGACCCCATGATAGCGGCTGGAAGAAAAATGGGACTTCTGGACTCAGCAGGTCAACGTTTGTCGCTGCAGTCATTTTTGCACAGTGCCAGTTCTGTTCTTAGCCAGCTAAATTGCACCTCGGCAGCGACCACTTGAAAGGAACCTGCCCTTCGGCTTTGCCTACCCCTTCCCCACACCCATCTCCAGACCCGTCACGGGCTTCAAGGGACAGAAACATTCATTATTCAGCTGTGGAAGGTGTGGAAGACGGAGCAGGCTTTCCCCTAGACAGCTGGGACAAAGCCGTTTTGCTCAAAGCAGAATGACCTGCTGTCTTCTCCCCCTTTAGTGATTCTCTTGTGCTCAGACCACGTGTGGTTACACGCCCAGTTCTGCAGGGACAGACAAGCCACAGCCACGTCCACACAATGTGTGCAGCTGCATACACACGGCAGCAAGCGTGCAAATTCTCCTGACCATCACCTCGCTGAATATTAGCACACCGGAGCGAGACAGAAGCCCGTGGCTTGACCCTGGAGCCTCCCTCGCTGGCTGGGCAGAGCTCCCAGGCTGTCAAATGTGTTTGTGGAGTTCACTGTGAGCAGAAGGACAGTGACTGCAGAAGTAACAGTGACTGAGATACCCCAGACCTCCCCACCAGCACCGTGTGCTTGGGTGGAAAGTGGTTACATGAGTGACTTGCTCCAGGCTTGTTGGGACATTAGAGATGTCCGTTTCCTTTTTCCTTCTTCTTCCTCTATGTGCAACCTTATGGTACAGGGGCATCCCGCTCTGCTCCTGCCATCTCCTCAAGCCCCTTTCCTCAGGATCCCTGCCTCCCCTTGCCACCATGCCACTTTCTGTCTCTGCTTCCACTGGAGAGGATGCTGCAGAGGACAAGGTCATGCAGAGGAGATGCTTTCCTGCCTCCCTCGCCCATGCTCAGGCAGTGCAGGAGCATGTATGTTGTTCTGCAGATGGACAGCTCTGGTCTCGCTGCCCCGTCGGAGGAATTGCTGTTTGGCACAGGGTAGGCAGCAGCTGGAGGGTCCCGCGGTCTGGTTGAACGCACAGAGCTGTAGGTGAGTCCTGACCTCAGTCCTTAAAGCAACCTACGCTCCAGCAAAACGAAGAAACAAAGACTAGAACAGAAAGCCCTTTTCAAGGGTATTGCCTCATCCAGTCCTTCCAAGCTCAGGAGCCGTGTTTCTAACAGAGAAGCCAACCACTGGAAACAAAAATAAAACGTTCATTTTCTGTAGCTTTTAGAGGATATAGCTGGAAAAAAACCCAAAAAACAAAATCAAAAAAGGAGATTGTCTCTCTTCCCCTTGTCAGAATCATCAGTAGCTAAGTCAGAAAAAAAATGTTCAAGTTATGGGTTGCAGCAGCAGCCAACACTAAACATTCAAGTCGATAATTTCACTATGTACATTACAGGGGAGACATGGCCCTGCCCGCTGGGACTCCCTTCTCCAGTGCCGCTGCCACGAGCCGTTATCTGATCCGCTTCTCCACTGAGTACACCGAGATGTAGTAGTCATTGCTTCCGACTGCCAGATGAGGCTGTGGGAAGAGCAAATTGGGGAGAAACGTACAGGTGTCATGCAGTAATGAGAGGCACATCGCAGGCAAAATGGTAACGGTCGACATTTTCAGCAGTAACACCCAGATGCTCGAAAGCTCTTAAGTGCATCTGCCAACGCAGCTCTGACGACATTTCTGCCAGCACCTACATTGTCTCAGCGAGTTAAATGCCCATTGCAGCCAGAGGGAAAAATTATGGCGACTATTAGTTGCCAACCGCTAACATAATTTTTCTAAATGACTGCAAATCTGCTAGTTAGGAACAGTCGCTTGGACTGAAAATTAGCATTCCCTCCACTGAGAGGCCCAGGAACAATTCCAGCTGTGGAGACCCGGGCTGGACATGGCTTTGTTTGTTTGCTTATTTAAAGAGCAAAACATTGCCAATGATTAGCCTCTTCTTTCTCCGTCCCCCAAACTGCAGACAGCAGAATCGCTGTTCAGCTTTCTGCGAGCAGCTTTTCAAAACTGAGGGGGACACCAGCTTTCTTTTAACCTTGGTATCTTCAGGATGCAAAATGCATATAACCTAGACAGGAAAGCTGCCTTCCCTCTCCCTGCCCAGCTAATACCAAATCACAGCGTAGCACAGCTCTTCTCTCCGCCAGGCCCTTTATCATTCCCACTGCTCTTTCCCATTACACATTAAATATTTGCGTTCCGATGTGCAGGTTTCTAAAATAACTCTCTGTCTAAATGCCGCCTTTAACCTCCTCCTGTTTTTCCTATCCATTCACATTGTTTTCTTAGGCTCTCAATCTCCTTCATTTATGCTCGTCTCTGGGTGAGCAGAAGTCCATAATGCAGATGGGCACCTGCCTCCTAATTAAGTAGCAACCAGATTCTCTTTCTAACGACTACTGCAGAGCCACCTCAGCTGTGACATATTCCAAAATTTCCTTTTGACTCTGATTCATTCTAGACTTTATCAGCTTATGCCTTTAATTTTTGCAGTTCTCTCATTTTTCTGAAGTGCAGTTTTTCTACTGCACAGCATCAGGTCTTCCTCAAGCCTTACATAATGCGGCGTAAAAGCAGCCCCCGAGCCACAAGGGTGAGCCTACCGTCTGAAAGAGAAGAGCCACGGAATAAGTAAGCACATGAAGTTTTATGTGCTGAAGTGAGAGACCGCACCTCTCCAGTCCGCTCCAGGCAAATTCACCTTGGACAACTTCTGTGGCAAGAACTACAGAGCTAAGCCAGGCTGCAGTCCCAGAGTGATGGGAAGAAATGGGAACCGTATATCAAGTTGATCCACAAGTAAAAAGGGCTCAGCCCTTGGCAGTCCTGTTCTAGTGGTAGGTGCACATCACAAACCAGTGCAGCGGCAGCACTGCCAGCATCGTCATCTGCAACAGCTCGGAGGACACCAAAGGACCTGGGGCTCAAAGCATCCTCAGAAGACGAGGTTGGGGCAGCACCTCTCTGTGCCAGAGGAGTCTCTGTGCCTTTCTCTCTTTCAACACAGACATTAACCAAGAAATGCAAATTCCAAAACCCAAAAAGAAAGAATACAGACCCAGTGAGGATGGAAAGCCAGGCAGCTGATGGCCCCAACTCTTTGTCCCATAAAACCATCGTAGTATTTGATATTGTTGATCAGCTCCCCATTTCCATTGTAGATTGCAGTGAACTGATTCATTGAGCCACTGGAAGGGAATGAGGAGAACATGGTGTCACCGAGAATGCCTGTGGTAATAACAATATTGTTGCCGACAGCCCCCTTTTCAGCTGTGTCAACTGAGCTGTTCGTCAGACTAGTGTGCAACGAGTTCTTGTAAAGGCGAGGAGACTGACTTTAACTGTACCATGGCAACCTCAGCACAGAGATATTTCCAGAAAGGCTTTAACCACAGTTACCTGTTACACTGCAGGACTGAGACAGAAAACATGAAGAGCTGATGCACACACACCCCGAGAGCAGATCCCCCAACCATCTCCAGGATACGTGGCTGTGGAGCAGGTCCTGGTCCCCACTCAGAAGCCAAAAATACACATGCTGACTTTGAACGGGGATCTGACATAGGAGTGTAAAACCGCACACCGTCACTAAGTCACCAGCGCAGAGGTTTTATTAATGCATGTAAAGGATAAAATTCGTGAGCTGCAGACATAGGAAAGAAGCTGAACTGTTTGTGGTGAGGTTTAAACAAATAATAAAACTAACAAAAACCCATGAATGACGTCTGCAGAGCCAAATTGTCCTCTCTGTCCACTCCAAGGGTGCAGGAGATGAAACTAGAACTTACCATGCAAAGAGGTTTGCTTGCGGGTGAATGTCAAGGGCCGTCAGCCCTTTGACTATCTGAAGGACCTTCATAGACTCTGGCATCCGGGGGTCAAAGAAGCGCACGTCTCCATTTACACTGCCAACACAAGAGTTTCACAACGTCAGGCTGTTCCCAAACCAGATCCCAAAGCCCAGGAGCTCAAGCCATATGCCTGTCTGTGAGCTGACCACCTCCATCAGAAAATTAGGATAGAGAAGACACGGACCCTGGCCTCCTCCGTCAATACGGCTGAATTCCCACTGATGTCACTTATACTTGGTACCATCCACGACGCATTAAGTGCTGTGCAAACAGCTCTGCCTCTGCCCTCACGAGTGATCCATTACTACTTCTATCGCTTACAGCTCATCGCTGAGTGTAAGTGCCTTTACTGTTATGTCATACTCAATACACCAAGCTGCATGTCAGACCCAAATTCCTGCTCCTTTTCACAGTAGGAAATTGTATTAGAAAACTCAAACCAGATGGGATCTGCTGGTACCATCCATTATGCCAAATTATGGCCACAGATGCACGAGTCCTCGCTGTCCAAAGTACCCCGTGGACCAGGCGTAACAAACCCTGCTAACGCTCAGGCGATGCGTCAATCCTATTGATGACTTCGTCAGGGAAGAGACCGTGGGAGAGCAATAGTGGCAATGGCAAGATACCGTATGTATTAGATCAAGCACCTTTCAAACACAAATGATTTCTCGTTGTTAAGTGATTTCTCTGAAATACATCAGTAGAATCACGCCTGTTAGATGTGAAGAGGGTCCATCTTTTCCTACAGCCCTGGAACCGAGGACTGAGGATTTTGCTATGGTACATCTGCTCTTCTGAGCTCCTTGTAAGAGATTAAGAGACTGGCCGACTGATGTAGAGGAAGACAAACAGAAAAGTCTCTTGTGGAAATTAAATTCAAAGTCAACTCATCCGATCTTACTCTGCCGGCAGCAGTAAGGCTTTTGGCACCACAGCTTTTAAAGTGTTGTGGTTTTTTTTCCAAGTCACTGGCGGACATACAACTGTGAACTGCCCTACAGAGCTAAGAACAACAAAGGCATTACAAAGCATAATGCCTTCGGTTTCTTTACCTCTGACATATCTAACACTGATCAAACGCCTGTTACAGGGGATTACTTATATCATTACAAGAAGCTGCAACTCCAGCTGCCACATAATTAAATTCAAGACAAATTAAACTTGTGGTCGATTTAGATCCTAAAGACTGGATGGAAATATTGTCTGAAAGGGATCAAATATCCAGTAAATTCATTTAAAGCTTTGAACCTTAATAAGACTCGAAAATGGTTCTGAATGTATTGGAAGAACATGCAAGGGCTTTAAAATGGAAGTAAATTTCTGTGATGAGGGGCTACGTAGGAAAACACATCCCAGTTGAAAAACAACAGGCAACAAAAAGTCAACAACAGCCAAGCTACTAAACCAGGATATTCAGAAGGAGTTTAAGGACCTTTTCTAGCAGCACTGTCAGCTTGATAAAGCAGACCTGATGGTTGATGAGAAGCACTGTGGCGGCACTAGCGCACAGACCAAAGCGGCTGAACGCAGTACCACGTGGTGAACCAGCGCCGGGCCATCGCGCGCCGCGGGATCTGGCTTAGTCACCAGTCCTGTGTTACGAACTCCTGCCTCTGGTCCAGAGAAGCTTCTCTGAGGTTCAGAGAACTGCTCTATGAGCAATACAATGCCTTCAGGTTTTTTGGGAAATAGTTACACCAAGACCTCCTAACATTTGTTTTTCTTGGATCTTGCTGTCAGCTGAAGAGAGTGAACTGGGAGAAACCGAGAGCAAGGTGGCTTGTCTCAACAAACTGGGTCCATCTGGGATGAGACCAGATCTGTCTTTTGAAGTACAACATTTTCTTATACCTCTCCGATCCCGAGAGAAAGCACCATGTGTTGAGAAGGGCACTGAGGAGAGGGGAAAAACGAGCCTTCAGACCCAGGCTGTCCAAGTGTACAGGCCTGACCCCTGGGACTGTTGAAGGAGATTACAGAAGGGAAGATTAAAAACTCTAATATGTGAGCTCGACAAATCTGGTAGCTGCATCACATAATCCCCTTTCTGAAAATCTTAATACATTTTTGCTGGCCCATCCCCCACATCAGGAATGTTCTGAATCCCAGAAAATTATGTTTTGTTCTCACTTTGTAATCAAGAGAAAGAGCCTCTTTGTGTGCAAATAGTGGCTTTGTGACAATAAATTATATTCTGCTGTTCTTTAATGGCCAAATAAGTATATGCTGCTCTCTCCGCAGTATTTACCAGGCAGCAGAAATGGATTTATGTGTAGAAAACTGCTAGGCAGCAAAGTAATCCTGCGCAGCAATATGCCCAACAGATGCAACATCAACCTTCCTTCTCATGTTCTCTCATATGACCCCACGAAGATGCTGGCAATAAAGAAGAAAAACCGTAAGATATACTGTATCTAGCTTAGGTCTCTGGTTCATTCGATTCCTCCCTCACACGCCTCCTGACAGAGACTTCAGCAAAGATGCCTTCTTGTTTACTCTCAAACCTCACTGACAGGCTTCCAAGGAAAGCTGCTTTTTGCCTTCTGTCCACCAAGTTTGGAGCAGGAGTTAATTACTGAAGCAAATGTCAAACTAAAGATCTTTCCCCTCTCAGCTCTTGAAATACCAGAGACAGATTTTAAATAGAAAAGCAAACTGTGTTTAAGAGAAGACAGCTCAAACAGTAAAATCTCTCTTACCTGACGCTCATGATGTTGCCTTCAGGATGTTTCTGCAAGTATGCTTTCACCACCCAGGCCGTGTGCTCTCGGTAGGTCATGACACGGCTGAGGAACAAGTGGAGAAATGTTTTGAAGGGGAGGAGGAAACCCGAGGATCCCACCGAGCCTGGGAAGGACGGGTAATTACCATTCACTTAGAGCCATCCTCCTGTCGAACACGCGGATGGAGCCGTCACCCAGCCCTGCCACAATTAAGGAACGATGAGAATCACACGAGAGGCTGGTCACACAGCTGTCGGCTCCGGTGGGGATATCCTGGGGAGGAAGCACACAAAAGCCAAGCTGAGACCATGATGTGTCTTCAGGTCCAGAGCCCCAAAGAGAAGGCACTAGGGTCAAGTGCTAAACCAGATGGACGCCGTGTCCTCCTCCTCCTCCTTTTCCCCCTCCTGTAAATCAGTCCAAAACTAAACCAGGGTTCCCACCTGCCACTCAGAAGACCGTGACACTGAGACAGCATGAAGGTTTCCTTCAGGCTCTCACGACATGCGCAGAAAGGAGGGGGTGGTGACCCTGGGGACAACGGTCACTGCTGCTGCTGTGTGTTTGAGCCACAAGTCCCACCTTTCAACCCAAAGAGCCAGGCCCAAAGGAGGAATTCCAGCAAAACCAGCTTTTGCAAATCATTCAGCTTTATAAACCCAAATGAAGGCAAGGTCTACTTTGGGAAGGAGAAGTTAGTATCATTCCCTACTAAGAATATCTAATTAGTCAAAACAAATGGCCAGAGGAGTTATTTCTCCATAAAGCATCTTTGCTGAGAACAAGTTGTAAACGCCTTTGGAATGGCAGGAGGAACAGTATAGATCTGGAGAAGAGTCATATAAGACACATACGCCTGCAGAAAGCAAAAACTCGTAATGGCATATATGAAACCACACGTGCAGTATGCCATAGGTAATATCACCCGTGCACAGAAAGGTATGAAGCTGCAAGGTTGATTTGTGCATCAAATCAACACCCAAGTAAGTTCCAGGAAGTTATTTAAATGCCTCTTGCAAAAGGAGCCCTTTTTTTTTTTCTCCAGACTGTGCCAGACAAAAAACGTATTAGGCCCCTGGAAACAATAAAATGATTTTACCAGAAGGTAGCTCCCTTTACCCAGAATGGCTCCAGTTATGAAGTCCACTTCTTTCAGGGTTTTGTGTGGGGTTTTTTTTAAACACTTAGCTCCCTTCCTCCTTTCACCATTAGGACCACTGCTACACCTCCGCGGAGCCCCGGCGGTTATTGCAAATGGGCCAAGCTAAGCAGACCATGGCTGGCCCGTCTGAGCGTGACCTTCTCCTCCAGCTGCAGCCGCAGGCAGCAAGCGCTGGTGCGGCAGCTCCGCTGCTCTTGAACAGCGTCGGCGTGGACGCGTAAGCCTTAGGCGCACGACGAGCTGCCTGACTGCAACACAGCACCAGAGAATCGCGGAGCGAGCCGGTGCTGGGCCACTATCAGTCCCTGCTTTCGGACAGTGACGAGTGGATTCCGGTTATCTCATTAGATGCCAGACACTATGTGCATTAAAAAAACTCACATGGAAGAAGAGGACTGGAGCTCGCAAGGACAGCTGTGCTGGGAACACGGTCTGCACTCTTGCTCTAAGGCTGCTACTTTCCGCCTTCTTACTCGCTATAAGCCAAAGAATTGCTTGGAATAACGTCTATGCCCGTTATGAGGAAAAACATTTTCAACTAAACCGGGTAAAAACCCAGCAATGCTGAAAAAGTAGGATAACAATCAGGAGGCACACTAGAATGCATTAGCTAATTTCACACTTCAATCCTATTTTTGCCTCTGTGCATATTCACCTCTCCTGGCTGCTATTCACAGCCCCCGCTGAGCGAGGCAGCTGCTGGCTCGAGGCACCAACCTTCAGGGCTGTTCTCAGCAGCTCTTCCAACTGCCTAAACCCCGATCCTGTCTTTGAAGCAGGAACAATCAGCAGAAGTGAAAATGAAGTCCTTGCTTCTTCAGCTACATCCCAAGTGCTTCCAGAGGTACGCTTTTTGTAGTTCAAAGAGCGAGAAGGCACCTTTATTAGCTCGGATTACATAGCTTCGCTGCTCTTTGTGCTGAATTTCAGTTTTCCGGTGTTACTGAGTCAGGAAGTTTCAATCACTTGAATTTCAACACAACCAATCTTTGCCATTAAAAAAGAAACAATGTGTTTTTAGATACTTTCAGCGCAATCACTAATCATCATAATTTAAAAGATTTTCACCTCCTGAATTTTGCTGTTCCCTAATTTACATAGAAAAAATAATACGAGAAAGAAATTAAGATTAACATAGGCTTAATTATCCTGCATTGCAGGGTCAACACGTCATAATTAACGTTCATCCAAGGGTAATTAATTTCTAGAAGCTTTGAAAACTAGTCTTCCTTTTTTCTCCACCATGGTCACTCCGTTCTCATAGACCAACTGCTTCTCCTTGTAACTCCTGAGAAACTCTCATTTCATGACGACTGACATCAAGGCTTGCAGCGTCTTCTCCCTGTTACACCGCACAGAAAGCTACGTACGACTGGAATCACGCCTTCACGCTGCCGCGCTTCAGAGGCGAGGTGTGAGCACCCCGGGGCGTCCCGGCGCGCGGGTCTGCAGAGCTCCCCAGGGAGACGCGCGGACGCCGAGGGAGCTGCCGGCAGCCTCGTAGGCACCTTCATGCTTTGAGAGCCAGGCCAGGCAACACGGAGCAAACTTCTGACCCGGGTCAGACTGGCCCAAGCTGGCAACAATTTCACTGTCTGTTTTTGGCCAGCACACGGTTAGGAAAAGCTCGCGTTTCTGTCCTGCTGAGCGCTCGGGCCCCGACTCGGGAGCGGAGCGAGCAGGTACGTAAGCGCGCTCCGTGTGGACACAGCTTTCCTGAAAACAGACCTCTGGCTGGTGGCCACGAGCGCAGCATTGCTCTGCGATTAGCTCTGCGTGCGTCCCAGAGAAGCAGAGATGGTGGTAGCAGCAAGTCTGAGTGCTTCACCACCGACCCAACTCACCGCTATGTTTCCTCAAGGATTTTTACACTACTTCAGTTACACGCTAACTGGAAACCCTATCTGCGTCCTGGTGCCTGCCTCTGGATTTCGCAGCCTCGTCCTTCCCAAACAGTGCTGTGCACAGCCCAGAGTAACAGCAGCAGCTTCCAGGGAAGACCTGACACACTCTCTGAGCACGTGTGTGCCTCTCTTTATCGCGTAACACGCTCTGCAGCAGGGAAGCAGAAGCTCCAGAACCCGCCAGCTCTTCAGACGAGTCGCGGATGCTTCGGCCGTGCACGGGGTAACTCGCTGCGCGGGATGTCGTCTGGGAGGGAAAGGCGAGTGGACCAAATGCGCAGATGTTACCTGTACTTTCATTTCCCGATCTGTGTCCCAGATCCGGATTATCCTCACATCTCCCGATGTCATCAGGAGCCCAGTTTCTTGTTCCCAGTCGACTACCATTCCTG